CGGACAGACTCATCCAGACATTTTCCAAAGAAAAGGCCACGATTGTTCCCAGCATGTCTCTCTGACTGCAAGCAGCATTTCCGGAGAGGATGCATACTCTGATTTACACCGCAAAGCACTGAAACCGTCCGGGACGCAACCACCATCTTTCAGACCCTCGTGCACCTTCTCACAGAAACATCACCTGCGTTTCTCTTGGCGTTAGGCCTAACGCTGAAATGAACGAGTGGGTTCCTTCCCAAGGTAATTCCCGAGGTTTCCCTGCCGTGCCTCTTTATGCTTTGCTGTTTCTTTGATTTTTAGAAAATAGCCCTAAGAGCTGAAACTAATGACACAAACGCCTTCCCGCATCTCAGCCCTGCCCTCTGCTACCTTTCCCGAGGCAATGCCGAGTGGCAGACAGAAAGCCCATCGGGCACCGGCACGCTGTCCACGTGTGAGGGAATAACATCTCGGCGGGCAGGAAGCACTCCACCGCCTCACGCAGGATGGCTCACTGGGCTTACCCGAAATCCTGCCCATGTGGTAGCTCTTCTTCCACAGCTGAAGCGTGTCCCGAGGCACACAGGTTCTCGGCTGACCTCGCGACTGGGGGCGGCTGGACCCTCTTCCTACAGCTGCCTGTCCGGAGGATGGCGGCCCCGAACCTCCCGGTCACAGGCCCGCCTCTCCCACCTTTGAGTAGCGCCTGGCTGCCCAGGCGTGCTCCTACTCTGCTGGAAATTGCAGGAATCCCAGCACCTTGATCCGGATCCCGGATCCCGGATCCCCACCCTGGAATCCTCTGCCTGCCACCAACCCAGCTTTACCTCCCAGCTGACTCATTTAGCCAGCCCCGACAGCTTCCCACGGTACGAAGGCAGACCACCGAGTCATACCAGGCTGCTCGAGCAGGGGACAGCTGTGGCTTTTCACCTAAATGCCACCCTTGTTGGGACGTCATGAAGCACGCGCAATTGAAAGGGACATTCCACACCCCGTGGGTTCTTAGACTAACTTAAGCCAAGGCGTTTTGACAGCAAATGTCAGAAAAGCTGGTTTGTTTCGAAAACTTGGTGCGGAAACCAACATGAAGGACTTAAGTTGAACTTTACTGTGTTGCTGTGTGTAGTTCTTACAGGGAGCCAGCTGTTCTCATGGAGACTGGTATCCATTCACGTGACGGTGTGGTATTGTCAGATTTGCAGAGTGTCTGTTTGCAACCACAATGAAATCCTTTTGTGTCTTAACCTAATATATGCTCCCTTGTGCTTTAGATTGTACAACATAGATGTAGTGTTTGTGAAAAAACTCACATGCACACACACCCAAAGAAAGTATAGTTTGGGAACCATAATGGTTGCTGTTGTCATGTTTGACTGCCCGTTCTGAATTTTCTCCTCATTCTAAATCAGTTTTCTTTCATGCTTCGTTTTGGAAGAGCTCCTTCTAAGCTGTATCAGGCCGGACTAGGGAATGTGCAGTGTGGCAGACAAAATCACATCCACTGCCACAAGTCCTGGTATCCATCTTTAGAATCTGTGCATGTTACTTCACAGAGCTGTGGGGATCTTCCAGATGTATTTAAAGACCTTGAGATGGAGCGGTTACCTTTGGTTATCCAAGTGGACCCAAAGTAGTCTCGAAGATCCTTACATAGGAAGGTATAGATCAGAGTAATAGAAGCTGTGCTGATGAAAGCAGAGTCAGAGACTTGAAGATGCTTATACTACTGACTTAGTCATAAAGACACAAAATGGTCTGCAGGCCAAAAAGTGCAGGTAGACTGTGGAAGTTGCAAAAAACAAGGGGATGTTTTTTTTCTAGAGCCTCCAGAAAGAACATGACTCTGTTGACACTTGGATTTTAGTGAGAACTTTCCCAGACTCTGACCCCTGGAATGGTTGGAGAAACAATTTGTATTACTAGTACACTACATTTGTGGTAATTTGTTATGGCAGCCTTAAGAAGCTAATACAACTGAAAAATGTACAGTTTCATTGCTAGGGATAGCTGTGTTCTGGAAGCTTGGGTGCTGATAACGGCGTTCTAATGCCGGGGTGTTGTAGGAGGACTCACAGGGCACTGAGAAAGAGTCTGGCGCTGACATGGGCCAGCATAGAGTGTGAACCAGCTTCCCAAGAACAAAGCAAGAGTCCACAGACTAGGCTTGTTTTTCAAATATATTACTTATTTTTTTGAAAGGCTGAGTTACAGACAGAAAGAGAGAGAGGGAGAGAGAGAGAGGGAGGGAGAGAGAGAGAGAGAGGCAGAGAGAGATCTTCCATGCACTAGTTCACTCCCCTAAATGGCCGCAGTCTCTGGAATTGGGCCGATCAGGAGCAAGGAGCCGCTTCCGGGTCTCCCAAGTGGGTGCGGAGACCCACATACATGGACCACCTTCTGCTTCCTTCCCAGGGGTACCAGTGGAGAGCTGGATCAGAAGTGGAGCTCTGGGACTCAAACTGCACCCACATGGGGTGTCAGCACCGCATGTGGTGGGCTTATCCACTACTCTACCTCACCGGCCCCAACTGGGTTATTTCTGAACTAAGTTCAAATCCAAGCTCCACCACTTAGTATCCATTTGACCTGGGCAAGTTGTGACACCTCTCTGAATACCGCTTTCCTTCTCTGTAAAGTGGGAATGTTGGTACCTTCTAAGGTGGTCATTAGGATGAATAAATCAAAATAATCACATATCTTTGGCGTAGTACCTAGCACATAAAACTGACAGAAGAGCAAACATACTGATTGTTATCCCCCTGGAATTGAGATGAGGAGCCCCAGGCTGAATAGGTCCCCTCTCCTTCCCCAGATCAGATGCAGAATGAGCTCCGAGTACATGCCTTGGTGGGTGTAGGCAGGAAATATGTTTGGAGTAAGTGGCTGCAGCTTGGGGACAGCAAATCTGGACGGGGGGGGAGGAGGCAGTTGTCCATCAGTCATGTTCTTCACAGCCCTGCAAATGGAGGGGAGCATCAGACTGAGACTTCATGTTAGCCAAGGCACCCATCTCTCTCCTTAACATCGCCGTTTATGCAGGTATTTGGTGCTGAAGCTCCTCTGCCATGTTGAGATTAGAGTGGATTTAGAGATTTCTGGAGCAGCCACAGCAAGTCCAGGGAATAGGTGTTCCCTTCTCTGTCTGACCCAAGAGTCCAGGGAGGCCTGCACAAACGTGCAGCTCTCCTCACAGGAACTTGAAGCAAAGTCTCCGTTGCTGGGGCATGGCTATAAACTCTGTTGGTCTAATCATGCAATCCAGATTGAAATGCAAAATTGCAGTACTAGATGATTAGATGGGTTCAGAGTCTGTTAACTCACGTCACCATAGGTCCTGGGATTGTCAGTACTATGCCCCTTCAAGGTCATTAGTGGACAGATTCCTCTCATTCTTCTGCTACCTAACTCAGTGACCCCCTGTGTCCTTGCTTCCTTCATGATGACAGGATGACTACTGTAGTCCTTTTGACACATACATCTGACAATGTCTGTATGATGAAGGAGGAACAAGAACCCTTCCACCAACACATGCCCCCATGTCTCACATTCCAGGCCTTTTATGGAGGCCAAAAAGAGCACGCACATAATATATAAGACCATATTGGCCCTGAAAAATTGCAACTGCTTTTTTTTATAGGTAACTTATCTAAAGTCAGACGGCTAATAAAGTCCTTTTTATTCTGAAGATGTATTTATTTGAAAGGCAGAGTCAGAGAGGGAGGGAGGGAGGGAGGCAGAGAGAGAGAGAGAGAGAGAGAGAATGATATATTCCATCTGAATGGCTACAATGGCTGGGACTGGTCCACGCTGAAGCCAGGAGCCCAGAGCTTCTGGGTCACCCACATGGGTGGCAGGGTCCCAAGTACTCAAGCCATCCCCCACTGCTTTTCCAGCCACATTAGCAGGGAGCTGGATCAGAAGTGTAACAGCTTGGATGCGAAAGTGGCACTCATGGGATGCCAGTGTCACAAGTGGTGACTTATCCCACTGCATCAGAACGCTGGACCCCCTATTGTACTTTATATAACGGTTCAAACCAGTCAGTGTTGTGGTACAGCAGGTTAACCACTGCTTGCAATGCCTGCATCCCCATATGAGTGCCAATTTGAACCCTGGTCTCTGATTCCAATCCAGCTCCCTGATAATATACCTGGGAAAGCCAGTTGATGGCCCAGGTGCTTGGGCCCCTGCCACCATATGGGAGACCAGGATGGAGTTTCAGGGTCCTGGCTTCAGCCTGGCCAGGCCCAGCTGTTGTAACTGTTTGGGTAGTGAAGCAGCAGATGGAAGATGTCTTTCTCTTTTCTCCATTTCTCTCTCTCCCTCCCTTTCTCCCTCTCTCTCTCTCCCTCTCTTTCTCTCTGCCTCTCTCTCTCTCTCCCCCCTCCCTCCCTCCCTCCCTCCCCCTTAGTGTGAATATCTATTGATGCTAAATCTGGCTTGAAGATTTAAGTGGAGAATGATACATTCACAGGACTTTTCTCTAGCGTGTGTCTTCTGGCGCTGTATCAGGGACGTATTCTGGCTAAAGCCTTTCTCATATTTCCTACATTGATGGGATTTCTCCCTGGTGTGTGTTCCCAGACGTTTGTTCAGGTGTGAGCTCTGGCTGAAGGCTTTTTCCGCATGCTTTACGTCTGTGAGGTTTCTCTCCAATGTGAATTTCCTGATGTTCAAGAAGATGTGTACTTCAGCTAAAGGCCGTCCCTCACACTTTGCATTCATTCATTCAGCTTTTCCCCCGTGTGTGTTCACTGATGCTGAATAGCCCCGAGGGGACCACTACAGACTTTCCCGCACTCGCCTCACTTAACGTGGTTTCTCTCCTTTATGAACAAAAAGATATCTGGAAAGGGATGAGATATCAGTGAAGGCCTTCCCACAATCGTCGCTTTAATAGGGCCTCTCTCCAGTGTGGATCCTGCGATGCTGGCTCAGGTGTGTGCTGGGGCAGAAGGCCTTCCCGCACACAAGGCACTCGTAGGGCTCCCCCAGAGTGGACGGCATGTGCTGGGTCAGTTGCATGCTGTGTGGAAGTCACTTCTTCCCTGCATGGTCCTCAGGGGCTGGCTAAGGGACAAGCTCTGGCTGAAGGCCTTCCCACATAGACTGCTCTCATAGGCCTTCTCTGCAGTGTGGATCTGCTGGTGGTCAAGGAGGGTGAGCTCTAAGTAAATGCTTTCCCCACACCCATTGCAGTCATACAGGCTTCTTGCCAGTGTGAAGTGCACAGTGCTCAGCAAGCGTATGGCCCGGCTGACAGCTTCTTCCACACTCATTGCTTCAGAAGAATTTCTCTCCCGGTATGAGTTGGCCTGATAGTCATGAGCAGTGAGCTCTGGCTGAAGACCTTCCTCACCCTCACTGCATTTAAAGGGCTTCTCTCCTATATGAAATCTCGGCTGTCTGATCAAGGATGAGTTCTGGCTGAAGGCCTTCCCACACTCGTGGCAGACATGGGGTTTCTCTCTGGTATGAGTTCTGTTGTTCTACACAAGCCCCGAAGGGCCATGGCAGCCTCTCCCCCAGTCAGACATGTAGAGGATTTCTCTCCATCTGGGAATATGTGACGAGTGAGTGAGGAAGCATCTTTGAGGCGCTTGCACACTCATGGTGCCCGTAGGGCTTCTCACCAGTGTGGGTCCTGCGATGCAGGCTCAGGGGTGTGTGTGGTGGAAGGCCTTCCCCGCACTCGAGGCACTCATAATGCTTCTCCCCAGCGTGGATATGCGTGTGCTGGGTCAGGTGCATGCTGTTTGTGAAGGCCTTCCACACTCACTGCACTCGTAGGCAATCTGTGTGGATTCTCTGGTGCTCAATGAGCAATGAGCTCTGACTGAAGGCTTTCTTTCCCCTCAAACACTCATTGTATGTAAAGGGCTTCTCTCCTGTATGAGACTTCTGATGCTTTCTAAGTGACAGCCCTAGTTGAAGGCCTTCTTATAGTCCTTGCATGTAAAAGGCTTTTCTCTAGTGTGAATCCTCTGATGCCTAACGAATGTGCAGTTGTTTAGGAGAGGACTTCCTATGGTCATACACTGCCAAGGTGTCTTTTCTACACACAAACCCGCTGAGTAATCCTTTCAGCTCTAGACGTGGGGTCAGGCCTCCTACATAACTGCCACAGTAAGAAGGACTCTCTCCGTAGGAATTAACTGCTGTGAAACCAGGATTGACTGCAGACTGAAGCTTCCCTCAAAAGCACTGCATTCATCTGGGCACAGTTTCTCCTGTGCGATCCTGCTGCTTGTTCCCCATGTCTCTCTAAGTGGCCCTCACATCCCCAAGTCTCATGCGACATGGAGTTCCAGTGACCATTTCCAGCCATTCTTTCTGTGGTCGATCCTTGGTATGAGCCTTCAGAAACTTCCTGCTGGAAACTGACTCCTTAGTCTCACGTCTGGTGACCCAATCTGAAAGCAAATACAAAGGTGAGAGTTGGGCCAGGACAGTGCAATGGGAAGCATTGACTCCAGAGCATTCATGCTGTCAACAGGCAGGCAGATGATGGGCAGGTGTCACAAGCAGTAAACGCCAAGGAGAGTCTGGCCAGGTCACAGGGCAGCTGGGAAATACAGGGACGGGCAAGGCTACAGAGAAAGGCGGAAGATGACAGGGCACAATAGAAGATGATCCCAGGCCAGCTTCTTCCCTTCCAGTGTCTCCCTGTCCCAATCGATCCTGTGTATTTGTCAGTTAGAAAACTAACACCTCAGAGGTAGAGGTAGAATTTTCATCTCTTACTCTGTTTTTTTTTTTAGTGAATTTTGTCTTTTATAAAAGGAGTGCGCAGAAAAAAAGAAAGGTGTTTTGACTTTGCTGGTAAGATTTTGGAATATGATTTATAATAGTGTATGATAATATCTGGACGAAAGACAGGGAATTGATCTCTGAATTTTTTAAAGTGTGTTTTTACAGGACAATCCTTAAGCTAATAAAAAATAGATTTTGAATAGGCTGAAGAAGAAAATAACACTGGCCAATCAAATACTATGCTACTTGGACTATATATAGGGCAGAAAAATAGTGCCCAGTTATTTTCTAGTAACAAGATGAGAGGAATAGTTCAAGGCCCATCTTTAGCCTTCATCTGCCTACATACCAATACGTAAAGTAATGGGGACAAGACAGTTGCACTAAAACTGCTTACGTGAACAGTGTTTAATTTAGCATCAGCTGAGATTTCCACAGAGCCATACAGAAATACATAGGGCAACAGAAGGGGCCCTAGGAACGTGTGAGTAACGGCAACATCAGAACTTACCTTGGAATTGGTAACAGTGGGGAAAGAAGACAAAGGTGATTTTATACAGTCAAGCCATCCTACCTCCCTCTGCTCTTATCACCAGCTTCTGGGACCTTTTCTGACCCTGCCCCTACTGCCTCCTATTGCCAGGAATCTTTATCTCTTATGAACTCCCAAACGCCTTTGTAACTCCCCCATGAAATTCTTCACTGCCTACCTCACATTATTTTATCCTGGAGAGTAGGAGCTGTGTTAGAGTCCCACATTACTCCACAATACCTAGCATGTAAAGGGTGCTTTTGAAATCTTTGAATGAATAAAAAAGTCTGAGGAAATGGTTGTGATCCCATAATCAACCAATCTAAAAGCAAATCTGTCAGGAGGAATGGAAGAGTCTGCACTACAGAACTCTGAAGATTCCAGTGAAAAGGGAGAGGGTGTGCACTTAGGGAGTAATTTTGGCTGCACTGGGGCATTCGTAAGACATGTGCAATGGAAGAAGAGAATAGCACATGACTCCTATTCAATGTGGCGTGTGGCTAGCTTTCTTCCTTGTCACCACGATATCATTCACTCCAGGAGCTCATCCCACCTCCTTGTCAGCTCCATATCACTGCCCTGCACTGGTTTCCCTTCCTGTCTCCGAGACTCAGCCCTTAGATCCTCTCGCACGAAGAGTGATCATGCTCTATGTCATGGCATACACACACACTGACTCCTCCCAAATTTCTCCACCTTGTCTCTGAGAACTGCCTCGTGTGTCCAACTGAATGCTTGACACTTCCACTTGAATGTCCAAAAGACATTGTAAACTTCACATACTCAAAACTAAATCCTATTCCTCCCACAGATTCCCTATCTCAGTTATGTGAACTTCATCCTCCCAGTTGCTCAAAGTCGCTCTTGATTCTCACATGCCCCAAATCTGATCTGCCAACAGATATGTCCCCTCTATTTTCAGAATACCTCTAGAATCTGGCCACCACTGACCCCCTCCATAGCTATCCTCCTTCTCCAAGTCACCATCTCGTCTCTTCTGGATTACTGCAATAGCACTCAAACTGGTGGCCCTGCTTCTGTTGTATTGCCACCTTCTCGCTCACCACACACATACACGTACACACCAATCCTCACAGCAACCCAGATATTTTAAAATATCATGGCTGATCAGCCACTGGTCGGCTCAGAACATTCCCCTGGCTCGGAGAGAAAGCCCTGGCCTTTGCATTGATGCCAAAGACTTGGGACATCAGGATACCCCAGTGGGGTCTTAAGTTCATCTCCTTCCATCTCAGCTGCACACCCTCAGCTTCACTCCCACTGGCCTCACTGCTTTGCTCTAGTGTATCAGATGCCCTCCTTCCTTAGCATTCACTTACAATCCCCTATAATATGGGATTTTTGTTTGTTTCATTTTTTATTTCTTTTTTTTTTTTTTGACAGGCAGAGTGGACAGTGAGAGAGAGACAGAGAGAAAGGTCTTCCTTTTCCGTTGGTTCACCCCCCAATGGCCGCTGCGGCCGGCGTGCTGTGGCTGGCACAAACCGCGCTGATCTGAAGCCAGGAGCCAGGTGCTTCCCCCGGTCTCCCATGCGGGTGCAGGGCCCAAGCACTTGGGCCATCCTCCACTGTACTCCCGGGCCACAGCAGAGATCTGGACAGGAAGAGGAGCAACCGGGACAGAATCTGGCGCCCCGACAGGGACTAGAACCCGGAGTTGCTGGCACCGCAGGCGGAGGATTAGCCTATTGAGCTGCGGCGCTGGCCTGTTTGTTTCATTTTTTAGAAAAATAGATTTATTTACTCAAAAAGCAGAATTACACACAGCACACAACACACACACAGGGAGAGGTGAGAAGGCGAGGGAGAGGGAGGAAGGAGACGAAAGGGAGAAGGAGAGGGAGAGAATCTTCTATCTGCTGGTTCAGTCCCCAATTGGCCACAATAGCTGTGGCTGTGCTAGGCGGATGCCAGGAGCCAAGAAATCTATCCTAATCACCCACATGAGTGACATGGGCCCAAGCACTTGGGTCATCTTCACTGACCCGGTGATGTTTTGGGGGCTGCGTGAGGCTCCTTGGGGACTGTGCTCTGATGTTGCCCCCTGAGTTAGTTGTGACTCAGTTTCCCAGCCTGATGTGACATTCCCTTCAGTGTTTGCAGTGTCCCTTGACTTCCTGTGTGGGCCATGGGTAGGGCCATGCCCGGCTGGTCAGGGGACCCCTGCAGTGACTGCGTCTTATCCTGGCGAGGGGCAGATCCTGGGGCCCTCGGGTCGGGAGAACAAGACGGGAGGGCCCTGGTGTGCAGGGCAAATGAGGAACCCTGGAGGAGGGAGGCCCGGGACCCATAGCCTTCCAGTGGCTGTCAGGAGTTACCCTCTAGGTCATCGCCCTTCTCTTCAATGGTTGAGTGTTTCTGTTCAATAAAGCTTGTTTAATGTTCCAGCTGTCTCCCCTCTGCTGTGGGTGTCTCAGGGCGTGGTGGGCTGGGATGAGTGGGCAACAGTGGCCACGTTAGCACTGGGGTACGTGCTGGGCAGCATCTGTGCCTCAGGGGCGTGGGGGTCCTCTGGGCTGGATGCAGCCTGGTGACTGCATGCTAGTGAGCGTGGGTACGGGCTGGTCCATTCCAGGTGCCCTCGGGGTGCCCCAAGGAATCACTGGGTTAGATGTTCGAGGGTGGGCTGGGTACATCTGGTGGGACCCCGGATTTGACGAAGGCTTGTAGGCCTTGGAGGCTGCTGGTATGCCTCTCGTGACCTGCTACCCACCACCCCTCTCCAGCACCACCCCTCTTTGTCTCTTAGATCCCAAGGCTGTGTTTTAGAGAAACTAGTAGCCATTCCTGGCAGGCCTGTGAGGGCTCAGGCAGCCAGCCACACAAGTCAGTAAGGCCATGTTTGCAAATCTAAGCTGGCAGATACAGTCAGAGATGTGCCCTAAAATAGCCCAGGCCTGAGTTCAGGTGCCCTTTCCAGGCACTGCATGTGGGACTTTTCTGGGTGGTAGTGTTTGCCCACTCACACGGTTCAGCCCACTCCTGCCGGCAGACAGCTGTCCAGCCCCAGACAATCTACTAAGCAATATTTGTGGATAGCAGGGTGTATGGTGCTGTGGGATTAATGGCAGGCCAGGCATCATTCCTCACCTACCCCCTACACCTGATCATGCCTTGAGTGGAAGGGGGGGGGCACGGCAGTCACCAGCTCAGGCATCCCTTGATGGAACTACTGTTGCTCTCTCAGAGATGCCAAATGGTTATAGACCTTGAAGCCTCAAAGCCCAACAACTTTCTCAGTGTCTGGTGAAGACGCAGTTCAGAGACTGCATAGCGAGAGACACAGCAGGAGGGTGCTCCAGAACAGCAGCCCTCCCTGCAACCACAGTAGCAGCCGGCTCGCCAAGATTCACCTGGGCCATCAACCAAGTTTTGTCAGCCTAGGAGGCCGTAGGCATGGCCATCATGATCCACCACCCCTCTCCAACACCCGCCTTTGCCTGTA